TTTGTTTGTTTTTACTTAGGTTAAAATTACAATGCTTTATTCAGTGGTTAATGAAAATCAGAAAATTAGAAGGTATGAACAAAGGATAACGTTTGCAAAGCAAAGAACCAATTTCCCCAACATACTATCTAGAGACCTAATCCAATCCAGAAAACACCCTTGAACAACAGAACAGAAATTGAGACATGTTTTGTCCTTTTGGCCCTTTGATCCTAAATACCGGTATCACCACCTAAGAAGCTCCTGCTAGAATGAACGAATAAATAAATAAATAAATAAACACATGACAAGTGATTTAGGTAAAATGCAAATTGGGCTTTTCATCATTACTGTACACTGCTAGTCATTCATTCCCTCTTTTATTAACAAGCATTTACTGAGCATCTATATGCAACATAGTACGGAAAGCACTACAAGGGATACCCAGATGCATTAGACATAGGCAGATTATGCTTTTAAGGAATGGACAATCTGGTAGAGCCCTGAAAGATGTCTGAGAGATCATCTCATTTTACAGATGAATAAACCAATATTCAGAGGAATTACATGACTTTTTTAAGGTCATACATTCAGTCAGCGGTAGAACCAGTTTGAGAAGCCCATCTAGTTTAATTAATTTAATTTTCAGTTAAGAATTTGGTCCCATACATCATGTGACCATCCCTAATCATCTAAAGTTGGACCCAGTTAGGCTTAAAATTCTATGATTGTTTTTAAATTCAAAAGCATAAAATAAAAATGATTGATGTTTTATCATTGGGGATGGTTTAGTGATTTGTGGTATGATCATACTCTGGAATATTATATAACTGTTAAAAGAGTTAGTAATATGTATAGAATGCATCTACAAATTGCATAATCTAGATGAAATGGAGAAATTCCTAGAAATGTACAACCTACCAAAACTGAATCATGAAGAAATAAAAAATCTGAACAGACCTATAACAAGGAGATTGAATCAGTAATCAGAAACCTCCTAACAAAGAAAAGCTCAGAACCAGATGGCTTCATTGGTGACATATACAAAACATTATTAAAAAAAAACACCAATCCTCCTCAAACTCTTTTTAAAAATTAGAAAGGAGGAAACACTTTCAAACTCATTCTATGAAACCAGCATTACTCTAATACCAAAGTCAGACAAAGATACTATAAGAAAAAGAAAACTACAGACCTAAATCCCTGATGAATATTCACGAAAAATCCTTTCAAAATCCCAGCAAATAGAATTAAATGATACATTAAAAGTATTAAATGCTATAATCAAATGAAATTTTATCCTGGAAGGCAAGGACGGTTCAACATACAAAAATGAATCATTAGTAGAATGAAGAGGAAAAAGTACCTGCTCATCTCTATTGATACAGAAGAAGCATTTGACAAAATTCCAAACTCTTTCATGATTTTAAAAAAAAACCTAACAAACTAGGAATAGAAGCAAATGACCTCAACATAATTAAAGCCATATGTGAAAAGGCCATAGGCAACATCATAATCAACAGTTTTTTTTCTAAGATTAGGAACAAGACAAACATGCCCACTTTTGCCCATTCTATTTATCATAGTACTAGGAGTCCTAGCCAGAGCAACTAGGCAAGAAAAAGAAATAAAAGATATCCAAATTGGAAAGGAAATAGTAAATTCTCTCCATTCACAGATAATATGACTTTATATGTAAAAAATTCTAAAGATTTTACACACACTCACACACAGTTATAACTAATAAACAAGTTCAGTGAAGTTGCAGATACAAAACCAATGCACAAAAATCAATTGCATTTCTATACACTAACCATGAAAAATATACAAAGAAAATTTTAAAAACAATTCCATTTACAATAACATCAAAAGAATAAAATACTTATGGCCGGGCATGGTGGCTCATGCCTGTAATCCTAGCACTTTGGTAAGCTGAGGCAGGCAGATCACCTGACGTTAGGAGTTCAAGTCCAGCCTGGCCAATACAGTGAAACCCTGCTCTCTACTAAAAATACAAAAATTAGCCAGGCATAGTCGTGGATGCCTATGGTCCCAGCTACTGGGGAGGCTGAGGCAAGAGAATTGCTTGAACCCAGGAGGTGGAGGTTACAGTGAGCCAAGATTGTGTCACTGCACTCCAGCCTGGGTGATAGAGTGAGACTCCATCTCAAAAAACAATAATAATAATAATAAAATAAAGAATAAAATACTTAGGAACAAACTTAACCTTGGAAGGGAAAGACTTGTACACCAGAAACTACAAAATGTTACTGAAAGAAATTAAAGAAGATACAAATAAATGAAAAGACATCCTGAGATCATGAATTGTAGGATTTAATATTGTTAAGATGTCAATACTACCCAGAGAATCTACAGATTTAATGCAAACCCTATAAAAATCCCAATGATGATTTTGCAGAAATAAAAAAAAAATCCATCCTAAAATACATACGAAATCAGAAGGGGTCCTAGATAGCCAAAACAATCTTAAAAAAGAACAAAGTTGGTCTCACATTTTCCTATTTCAAAATTTACTGCAAAGCTACAGTAATCATAACAGTGTGGTACTGACATAAAGACAGACATATAAAGCAACGGAAAAGAACAGAGAGCCTAGAAATAAACCCTCAAATACATACATGGTTAAATGAGTTCATTTATTTATTTATTTGAATTAACAAAAGTTATATGTGTTTATGTGTACAACACATTGTTTTGAAATAAGCATACCTTGTATAATGGCTAAATCAAACTAATTAACATATGCTTTACCTCACATAATTTTTTTAGTGAAAACACAACATCTACTCTCTTAGCAATTTTCAAGACTATAACATATTGTTATAAACTATAGTCACTATGTCGTACAATAGATCTCTTGAATTTATTCCTCTTATCTAACTGAAATTTTGTAATCCTTTGACCAATATCTCCCCAACACACTCCACCACCACCCTAGCCCCAGTAACCACCATTCTACTTTCTACTTCTATGAATTCAACTTTTTTGTATTCCACTTGTAAGTGCGAAAGTGCAATATTAGTCTTTTTCTTTGTCTGACTTATTTTACTTAGTATAATGTTCTCAAGTTTCATCTGTGTTGCCCCAAATAGCAGGATTTCCTTCTTTTATGACTAAAAATATTCCAGTGTATGAGTGTGTATGTGTCACATTTTATTTATCCACTCATTTAATGATGGACATGGATACTTAGGTTGCTTCCATATCTTGGCTATTGGGAGTAATGCTGCAATGAACATGGGAATGCAGATGTCTCTTCAAAATACTGATTTAGTTTCCTTCGGGTATATACACAGAAGTGGGATTGCTTGATTATATGACAGTTCTATTTTTAATGTTTTCAGGAACCTTCATATTGTTTTCCATAAAGGTTGTACTAATTTACATTTCCACCAACAGTGTGCCAGAGTTCTGTTTTCTACACTTCCTCTCCAACACTTGCTATCTTTTGTCTTTTTGATAATAACCATCTAACATATGTGAGATGATATCTCATTGTGGCTTCAATTTGCATTATTCGATGATTGGTGATTTTGAAAACTTTTTCATATACCTGTTGGCCATTTGTAGATCTTTTTTTGAGAAACGTCTATTTAGATTCTTTGCCCATTTTTCAATTATGTTATTTGTTTTCTTACTATGGGTATTGAGTTGTTTGAGTTTCTTCTATATTTTGGATATTAACCCCTTATCAGATATGTGGTTTGTAAATATTTTCTCCCATCTGTGGTTTGTCTCTTCTCTCAGTTTAGTGTTTTATTGGCTGTGCAGAAGCTTTTTAGTTTGATGTAATCCCATTTGTCTATTTTTGCTGATGCTTTTGAGTTCATGTTCACAATATCATTGGCCAGGCAAAAGTCGTGGAGTTTGCCTCTATTTTCTTCTAATAGTTTTCATTTTGAGTCTTTCTTACATTTCAGTCTTTTAATCCATTGTAAGTTGGTTTTTGTATATGATGTGAGATAATGGTCTAATTTCATTCTTCTGCATGTGAATGTGGTCAAACGATTTTCAACAAGGGTGACAAGACTATTTACAAATGGTTAAGATGGTTAACTTAAACGGTTCATGAATTTTATGGTATGTATATTTTACCACAATTAAAAATTTGTAAGTATAAACATGTAGGAGACCCAAACTTTACTGAAATAGAAGATGTATATGTATATATGCTGGTTTATATTTGCAGAAGTAGGGATAAAGGTATCAAAGAATGTGCACCAAATTCTTAATATTGATTACCTCTAGAGCATTAATTTTGGTAGAGATGTGTGCATCTTCAGAGAAGGGAAAGGATATTAGTTTTTCTTTATATGCCTCTGTACTCTTTGACTTGTTACAATGTGTATTCATTACTAGCACATATGTTTAATTTAATAGTGTCAGAAAACAATCTACAAGCAAAAGTCATTAAAGATTTTGGTTATCAACATGTACATTCACTACTACTGAAGGCAAGAATATTAGATAGAGCTCTGAGGATCCTATAACTTGCACAAATTGATCATAGAAAGGCATACTTGGTTTGAAAGTTGATACATCAGGTTACAGTTCATGTTTTGATGACACTAATGTTAGTCTTTCCAAGTCTAGACAATTGTTTATAAAACCATGATCATGGTTAAGTGATTATTTAAGGAAAAATGGTCAGTTAAGATAAATTATGCCTAAAGGTTATCAAAGGACAAGTATGACAAAGCATGCCAGGACAACACTTGGCTCAAGGCTAGTCTGTCATGTGACTTGCATCAAGAGGCACTTTTGTGCTTGGCTTCCATGATGAGCCTTCACTTAGTCCAGAGGGCAAAGAAGAAACATAATGAGACTCAATTAACAATGGAAAAAGCAGGCTATTGAAATGCTATTTATAACTTTCTAAACACTTCGGGTATTAGCCAGAGACTCATACTGAAATTGACATCAAGAAAAGATGTTAGGTAAATATGCAGCTCTAGGGAACATATAAAAGGACAGATATAGAAGGTACAGCCCAAACTCAGAAACCTCTCTTAACAACACAGCTCTCAACCCAGCTCCTGACACCATGGCCAGCTGTTCCACCAGTGGGACCTGTGGCTCCAGTTGCTGCCAGCCAAGCTGCTGTGAGACCAGCTGCTGCCAGCCAAGCTGCTGCCAGACCAGCTCCTGTGGAACTGGCTGCGGCACTGGTGGTAGCATCAGCTATGGCCAGGAGGGCAGGGGTGGAGCTGTGAGCACCCGTATCAGGTGGTGCCGCCCAGATTGCCGTGTGGAGGGCACCTGCCTGCCCCCCTGCTGCCTGGTAAGCTGCACACCCCCATCCTGCTGCCAGCTGCACCACGCTGAGGCCTCCTGCTGCCGCCCATCCTACTGTGGGCAGTCCTGCTGCCGCCCAGTCTGCTGCTGCCAATGCTGTGAGCCCACCTGCTAAAAACCAGGTTGCTGATCGCTTACGAATGAAAGGGAAAGCACAGCAAAATTATGCTGATTTCTGAAGAACTGTTCAATTTTACTTGGATGCTAAGTACCATGATGTTGTTAAGCTGCTTAGAGATAATGAAACTCCTAGTGAGGACACTGCAGATGTGCCGAATTCACTCACTGAAACATGTATCAATCAGTGTTCTGGATAGCTTACGTTGCTTGAGCAGAGAACCAGTATGGAATAGTTCATCATTTCAGTGACATCTCTGCTCCCCCAACTCTCTCTTGATGCCCATGCATCTTCAGACCTGGTTTTTCCTTGAATATCTCTGATTAATTCAAATAAAATGTTTTAATGTGCAAAGCAAACTGAGTTATGTCCACCTTCTACCTTTAAGCGTGTCTTCCTGTGGCTGGTATTCAAGAGTGGATTTGCAAAATCATAATAATACCAAGGTATAACCACAAAGTCTAAACCAGAAAGATTAAATACAAAGTAAATTATGCTTGAATCCATCAACTTAGAAATGCTCCATGAATTAAATAATTTTATAGTTATTCCAATATTTACATGCTCTAATCTATTACAATTAGGTCTAGACCAATAAAGGTTGACCTTCAGCTAAAATTTTAAGGTTGATCAAAGCTATTGATTTCACTCTAAATGTAATTCTACCATCTTTTGTCTCCTTCCATTTTATATACTATTCTCCTTCATTTATGCCCCCAAATCTAAAGACATTGTATTACTTTCTAAATAGATTTTAAAATATCTACCAGATACTACCTATTTTCCAAGAGTATTTAGGTTTAATTTCTATGCCTTAGCCTTTCACATTCTTCCCACTGATCCCTGAATTGCTCTCTAAGCTTCAACTCCCAGTATTCACCTTCATTTGATGTAGGTATGCCTAAGGTGTATCTCTGGTCTAAATTATAATAGAAGAAACAGCTATAGAGAGCACCTGCTGAGTTCTACCGTTGCCATTTGTCAGATGCGTTAGAAATCTGAAACAGCTCTATTATATTTTGCACTTTGCA